TCCGTCGCTCCAACGGAGGCCGACGTCGAGCAGGCCAGGGACTTCGTGGATGCTCTGCAGGGGGACGACGGCCACGTGATCACCGAGATGCGTCTGAGCGACGGCTACATCTCTGCCACGAAGATGTGTCAATCTGCTGGAAGGCACATGAGCGACTATATGAGACTCAACTCTACGAATGAGTTCATGGTGGCATTGGCTGATAGCCTCGGCCGACCGAAATCAAAGCTGACGGACCGCTGCAAGATGGGGGCAGTTGCCAAACGAGATACCTGGGTCCACCCACGGGTTGCCACACACCTAGCCATGTGGATAAGTGCGGACTTCGAGGTGAAGGTATCAGGATGGATCGAAGAAGCTCGTAGGGGACTTCGTGGCATCAACCAGGATTACATATGTGCTTTAGCAAACCTGAAAGCACGCAAGGGGAATGATTTGTTGGAGGCGAAAGTGCGAGATAGAATAGCAGAACAAGAGAATGGTCGGGTAGAAGTAGCATGTGAGTACGGTATAGTAGACGTACTCACACCGATGGCTATCATAGAGGTCAAACGAAGCAATAGCTTTCTACACGCGTTAGGCCAGGTGTTAGGCTACGCGGAATCATTTCCGGGACACAGAAAGTGGATTCATCTGATACTAGAGAACGACGAAGACGATCTTTTGAACAGAGCCAAAACAGTGTGCAATAAACACGGTGTTGAGGTGACGTGCGAAACCGCATGATAAGCTGGTCGTATCTGCATGGACTTTTCGGAGAAGAGTCTGCTCACAGACAATATAAAATGTGCTTCCAGATATCCTTTTCAGTCATTTCCAGAGTCCACTCTCCAAAAGATGGCACCCGCATCGCGTCCCATACTCGCCGTCTCGGCGACCGGCACCATGACCCGGTATCATAGCAAGCGTGCCGCTTCCGAGGCTACCGGTATTCCCGCGGCGAGCGTAGCTTTCGCCGCCTCCAATCTCGCCCTGCGCGATGGCCGTCTGTGGAAGTTCGAAGACGACCCCCGACAGGTAGACATGAGCCGCTTTCAGGCGGTTCGAGAGCAGGTCGTCGCTCCAACGGAGGCCGACGTCGAGCAGGCCAGGGACTTCGTGGATGCTCTGCGGGGAGATGACGGCCGCATGATCACCGAGATGCGCCTGAGCGACGGCTACGTCTCCGCCACGAAGATGTGCCAGTCTGCGAGCAAGATGTGGGGACATTACAATGCCGTTGAAGGCAACCTGGCCTTCAGGACCGCTCTGGCTGCATCTCTCCAGATTCCGATAGATGACCTTGTCCAGTCCATAGCCAATGGTCCACTCTTCCAGAGAGGCACATGGGTGCACCCTCAGCTGGCCATTCACCTGGCGTCCTGGTGCTCGCCCACTTTTGCCGTCAAGGTCACGGCGCTCGTGCTCCGCTACCTGACCGGACAGGTCACCACAGAGGAGTCTCGGGCCGCAGCCAAGACCGTCGCCGAGCGCGCTGCTCCACCCGAGGAGACAGACGAAGACTCGAGAGCCCTCAAACGCCTGAAGGTGACGCACGAGATCGAGCTAGTGAAGACGAAGCACGCTAACGAGATGGCGAATCACGCCAATGAGTTGGCGAAATTGCAGTCAGAGACGTCTCGCCTGCGCATGGAGAGCACTCGAGAGCTCATGGAGGGAAGCAAGCGCTTGATCGATGGCTTGGCGTCCGGCATCGCACCTCCTGCCTTGACCGGCATGATCAACATCGCGCGCCACAACCTCGCCATCAAGTGCCTCGCGGTGTTGGGGCCGAGCGACCCGCCCGCATCCGATCCCGGCACCGAAGCACCCGTGGCGCCTCCGCCCGTCGCCGCCGCACGACGCGTCACCGTCCAGGAGTTCGGCAGGGATATCTTGGGTCTGAGGGGCGACCAACTGGCGACGGCGCGACTCTCGGTCGTCGGCGGCAAGCTCGGCAGGATGTGGAAGAGCCAGCCGGGCAAGGGCGAGATCGTGGAGCTCGTCTCGAGCGAATTCAGGAGAGAAGTC